AAAAAAAAAAAAAAAAAGAAAAGAAAAAGAAAAAGGGGTTATATATATATGTATGTATTTTTAAGTTTAAGAAATTGAAAAAGAAGGACGCAGCCTTCAGGCCTGGCTTGATCCTACCCCCCTCTTGACCTGTGTGTGACCCGGGGCAGGTGAGGGTTCTCCTTGGAGTCTAGGTTTCTTCATCTGTGAGGTGGGAGCCAACCTCACACCTTCCTTCCAGGCCCTGAGTGTGCCTGGACAAATGAGCTGAGACTGTTAACACCACAGGACGTTCTGAGCACTGGCCACATCCCAAGCCCTGGCCTACGACTTCCCCCAACACCACAGCCAGCTGCCGGGCACAGCCCACACCCCGTTACCTCATCCCACGAACTGTGCCAGGAAGAAGGTTCCACCATACCCTCCCAAGTCCCCCACTCTAGCCCCACAGGAAGTCCTTCCCCGCCTTTTTTTTCTTCAAGACTGGGTCTCAGCCATGGCCCAGGCTGCAATGCAGAGGTGAGAGCTCAGCTCACTACAACCTCTGCTTCCCGGGTTCAAGCCATTCTCCTGCCTCGGCCTCCTGAGTACCTGGGACTACAGATGCCCACCACCATGCCCAGCTAAGTTTTATATTTTTAGTAGAGATGGGGTTTCAGCATGTTGGCCAGGCTGGTCCCAAACTCCTGATCTCGTGATCCACCTGCCTCGGCCTCCCAAAGGGCTGGGATGACACATGTGAGCCGCCACGCCTGGCCAGGAAGTCCTTCCTTTTTTTACTTGCCATCCAGTAACACAGGAAGTCCTTCCTAATACCCAGTCTCCTCGTACATGGGCACCAAGATCCCTCACTGCCCCTCCCACCCAGTAATTCAGCCCGAGATGTTTATACAGAAGCCACACCCCACACAACCTTGTTCATGAACAGGGTCTTAACTCTTTGGAGGTCAGAAACCCCTTTGGGGATTAGAGAAGGGCCATGATGCAGGCCTCAGAGGCAGGCCCAGGCTGTGAAGAGCCGAGCCTGCGGTCCCCAGCCACCGGAAGCCGGAGTTCCTGATGTGCCTGACTGCGTTTGGGAACCAGCTCATCAAGACAGGGTAGACATGAGAAAAGAAAATCCTAGATTCAACAACGGCATTCGCACGCTCCTTTAAAAGGGAAAGGGAGAAAAGAAATCTGCCATTTCATAAAAATCCTGAAACCTGACTGCCACTTTCAAAACACTTCCCACTCCCGTGCTGGGGGTCCTCCCCAAGACTCCCACCTTCTCTTCCCCCCACAGCACCAGGCTGGATGAATGCCCTTGTCCACCAGGAGACTCCAAGCACCTCACCTCCCTCAGTCCCTGATGCCCCCCCAGCAACTGGCACTGGCCTGGCACAGACTAGGTGCTCAGTAAAGACATACTGATGAATCAGTGAACAAAAGAACAAATGACTAAATGCCCCCAGGACACATGGCTCCAACTCCAGTTTGGCCTCTAGTTCTCTGAGGGCCTGACCAAGCCCCTGGACTTCTGGGCCTCAGTTTCCCAAAGCCCCAGTCCTCTAGGACTTCCTTGAATTCGCTACCCTCAGCTCCTGCTGAGAGGCCACCCTGCGTCTCCTGCCATGCAGACGATACTGCGGCAGCTGCTCTCTGCAATGCAAAAGGTGGGACAGAGATCGCTAGACGGATAAATCATGAAGCATAACCCCAGGTGCAATCAGCCAGGCGCAGCAGGGACGGGCACAGCAGCAGCCTCAGCAAATTATTCTCCCATTATCTCTTCAAACAACTCCCTCCAGTGGCACGCCCCTCACAGCACTCCCTGGAGACCCAGAAGAGGATCCCAAACAGCCACGAGATGACTCCTCTTCCTTTCTCTTCCCCACCCCACATAGCCTCTGGTTTTATGGGTTTCCCAGAGCAAGAAAGCAAGAAGCTGGCAGGTCTGAGCCCCAATATTCGGGACCATGGAGGCAGATCGAGCTGGACCCAGATTCCACACACACACACAGCTGTATGACCTGGGCCAGGGTCTCCACCCTTGTGAGCCTCAGTTTCTTCATCTGTAAAATGGGGCTGCTCCTCGGATTCTCAGCCTGGCACCATTCCATCAGCACAGTGCCTGCCCACAGGAAAGCCCCGTGTGTGTCACTGAGGGGCCACCTCCATACCCACTCTGCATGGGGCGGCCCAGAACCAACAGCTGGCCCTGTGGACATGAGTACAGCATTCCTCCCGCTTCCACCCACTACTTTTGTTATCATAGTGCTGGGATGTTTGGCCATTACAAAAGTAATAAAAGCCATTGCAGAGTCGGGCATGGTGGCTCAGGCCTGTAATCCCAGCACTCTGGGAGGCCAAGGTGGGCAGATTTCTTGAGGTCAGGAGTTCAAGACCAGCCTGGCCAACATGGTAAAACCCTATCTCTACTAAAAATAAAAAATTAGCTGGGCATGGTGGTGCACATCTGTAATCCCAGGTACTTAGGAGGTGGAGGCAGGAGGATTGCTTGAATCCAGGAGGCAGAGGTTGCAGTGACCCAAGATCACACCACTGCTCTCCAGCCTGGGTGACAGAGCAAGAATGTCTCAAAAAAAAGTTGCAGAAAATTTGGAAAATAGGACACATAATCCAGCAGAGGACCCCACACGTCACACCCACGTGCAGCTGCAGCCTGGGGCCACCCCATCTTTCTTCTCTGCCCACATTTTCCCATCATGGACTGCGGCCTGACGACGGTGTGTGACCCTGCTGCCTCCACTCAGGATGACATCCTTATCACTTTGCAGGTGATTACAAAGCTCACCATCACCTCCCTGGGCCTCGGGCGTGCCATCTCTTAGCAGCCCTCATTGTGGTTCCTGATCGCCTACGATGGTGAATCGGACTTGAGGAGTAGGAACTGAGATAATCAAGAGAACAACGGATGGGGGAGCCAGAGGTGCCGGGCTCCTGCAGACCCTGAAGCTGGCGGTGGACACCGATGCTGGCTCTGCCTCTCCAAGCCTCCAGCTTCCTGCCTCTGCCAAACATGGACAACTGCATCAGCAGCTCAGAACGGGGAGGCACCAAGGAGCTGGCCCCATGGGATGCCCAGTTCGGAGCCTGGTGCAGGGTGAGCATGCCCAGCCAGCCTGGCCTGGGCCTCCCATTGCTGTGCCCTGGCCTGTGCTCTCCTGGGGGCCTTGGGGACTGGGGACCCGACCAGCACTGGAGCGCGAGTTCTAGCCCAAGTTCTACTTCTACTGACTTTGTGGCCTAGAACAAATCACAGAATCACTTTAGACCCTGTATGGCAGCTGCTAAATGTCAGCACAAACCCAGGTGACCCTGGACTGTGCAGGGCAGACGGGGACCTCCTCTCTGAGCAGCTGACTGGGGGCAGAGGTGTGGCTACCGAGACCAAACGAGCCATGCTGAAACTGGAGGCGGCAGGAACAGCAAAGGGAACAGGAGGGATGGAGGCTCTGAGGCAGAATGAGCTCTGCATGGGTGAGGGACAGCAAGTGTGGCAGCGCACAGTGCCCCAGGGGAAACGGTGAGGTCAGGAGCTCAGGGAGGGGCCAGGCAAGGCGCTAAGGCTTTCTGCTAAGTGCAGTGGGAAGTCACAGAGGGCTGGTTCCATTTTCCAGAGCTCTAGCAGAGGCTGTGTGGAGCCAGCACAGCAGAGCCAGCGTACGCAGGCAGCAGCCCTGCGAGGCCGAGGCAGCGGTCCACTGCAAACCAGGGGCTCAGACCGCTGTGAGCAGGGGCAGGGATGAGAGGCAGGATCTGCCGTCTGGGGAAGGCGGGCTGGTCAGGCAGAGCTAGACACGAGCAAGGGAAGGAGAGGGCTCATAATATGTGTGTGGAGAAGAGGGGAGCTCCATACGTGTGATGAAGAAAGAGACACGGAAGCCATCAAAGCCGCTTCCGCAGCTGGAACTGCCCCGACGCTTCTCAGACGGGAGAGGAAAACTATACCCATTGGGGCCCACTGCTCCCTGAATGTCCCTCCCTCCCGCTGCCGCTCCCACCCGGGATGGCTGGGCCCTCCACTGCCCTCCCTGACAGCCTGGGCTCAGGAACCCCGAGTTTTCCCAAGAGAGGAGTAGGCATGGGCAGAGTCACTGGCTGTCAGGCATCTGAGAGTGGTTCAGAACAAGAACAGGGCCAGGCACGGTGACTGACGCCTGTAATCCCAGCACTTTGGGAGGCCGAGGCAGGTGGATCCCCTGAGGTCAGGAGTTTGAGACCAGCCTGGCCAACATGATGAAAGCCCATCTCTACTAAAATTACAAAAATTAGCCAGGCCTGGTGGTATGCGCCTGTAATCTGAACTACTCAGGAGGCTGAGGCAGGAGAATCACTGGAATCCGGGAGGCAGAGGTTACAGTGAGCTGAGATCGTGCCACTGCACTCCGGCCTGGGCAACAGAGCAAGACTCTATCTCAAAAAAGAAGAAAAAAAAAAAAGAACAAGCAGGAGCCATGGTGAGAATATGCCCTCTGAAAATGGGCCAGGGTGTTTGGGACGCAGGTGCTCATCTCATTTGCCTTCTGTGCAAAGGACAGAGGGGACGGTGAGCCCGGCGGACCTGGCCTGTGAGTAGGCGGGCTTGTGTTTCAGTCCCGGATTAACCAATGAGGTTTAGGACAATCAAGGAATAGCAAAGTGGTTTATTTTGTGTGGTGACAGCAGATCCGCTGGCTCCCAGAGCACAGAGCAACGCACTCTGTGATCTGTCATTGATGTCTGCCACGTGCACAGGATGGCAGAGTGTCACCGTCTAACCATCCCTGGTCTAGCGTTGTCTGGAGGGGATGGGACCATTCTAGAATACACCAGTGAGATGGGTGGAGGGCTGACCCAGGAGAGCCAGAGAAAAGACTGGTTCAGCTGTCTCCTAGCCTTGAAGGTACTGCCAAAGTGACCACAGGATATTTACTTGAGACAGAACTTTTCTCAAAATGTCACCTATTTTCTTTTCTTTTCTTTTTTTTTTTTTTTTTTTTTTTTTTTTTTTTTTTTTTTTTTTTTTTTTGAGACAGGGTGTCACTCTGTCACTCAAGCTGGACTACAGTGGCCCAATCATGGCTCACTGCAGCCTTGATCTCTGGGGCCCAAGAGATCTTCCCACCTCAGCCAAGTAGCTAGGACCACAGGCCTGTGCCCAAGCTGGTTTCAAACTCCTGGGCTCACGTGAGCTTCCTGCCGTGGCCTCCCAAAGTGCTGGCATTACACGTGTGGGCAACCATGCCTGGCCTGTTTTTGTTTTTTTTGAGACAAGGTCTATTGCCTGAGGTGGAACCATCATAGCTCACAGCAGCCTCAACCTCCTGGGCTCAAGCCAGTCTCCCACCTCGGTCTCCTGATAGCTGGGTCTATAGGTGCATGCCTAAAGCAGGCTGATTTTTTCTTTATAAGCTCTTTAGGGGAAGTGCCCCCACAGTGAGGAGTGAGGACAGGGTGTCACACAATCAAGGGTGCCTGTTTTGCTTCGGGGGCCTCCACACCGCCCCCTCGGGCCAGCCTCCTTGGCTCCCTGCCACTCCTCAGACTCGCCAGGCCCCGCTCCCAGCCTGGTCCTTGCTGTTTGCTATGCCTGGGTGGATACGACCCAGGTTCCACCAGAGTCCTTATTGTCTAGGTTGTAGCTCAAATGTCAGCCGCACCTGACCTCTTCATCCTAACGATGCCCCCACCTCTTCGCGTTTGAATCTGCGTACATATTTCCCAGCCCGCAGTGACCCCGCTTTGGACTCATGTGTATGTCGGGGCCTGGGGTTTTGTCCAGTTCGCAGTGTGTCCTAGGGTGGGACCGGGGCCTGGCGCAGACAGTACGCTCTATTGATGCTTGATGAGCAAACCAAAGTCACTCACTCCCCGGGCCTCAGTTTCCTCACCCGCCTAATGCGGAGAAGTCCTCAATCTCAGGGCTGCTCGGTGGTTTGCACTGATGACATCAGGACCGTGATTATTACGGTATTGACGCCAGCAGAGAGCACGTTTCTTAGGCTCCATTCCAAATGTCTTATGTGAATTAGCACATTTATTCTTCACACTACTCCTAGAACGTTTCTCTATTATCACCCTCCCTTTCCAGAGGGGGAAACTGAGGTCCTAAGAAGTCTAGTCATTTGTCTAAGGTCACACAGCCAGGAAGTGGGCAGTTCAGAATTCAAGCCCGGAGCTGGGTTCTGCGGCTCGCACCTGTGGTCTCAGCTACTCGGGAGGCTGAGTCAGGAGGATCACTGGAGCCCAGGAGGTCGAGGCTGCAGTGAGCTTTGATAGCACCAGCACACTCCAGCCTGGGTGACAAGGCAACACCCTGTCTCTGAAAAAATAATATTAATAATAATTTAAGTATGTGTCATCTCAGCACTTAGGGAGGCTGAGCAGAGCAGATCACTTGGAGTTCGAGGCCAGCCCGGCTAACACGGTAAAACCCCGTCTCTACTAAAAAAACACAAAAGTATTAGCCAGGCACGGTGGCGGGCGCCTGTAATCCCAACAACTTGGGAGGCTGAGGCAGGAGATTCGCTTGAACCTGGGAGGCAGAGGTTGCGGTGAGCTGGGATTGCACCATGACACTCCAGCCTGAGCGACAGAGTGACACTCTGTCTCAAAAAACAATTTTTTTTTATTTTAATTAAAAAATTAAAGGATTTAGCCGGGCGCGGTGGCTCAAGCCTGTAATCCCAGCACTTTGGGAGGCCGAGGCGGGTGGATCACAAGGTCAAGAGATCGAGACCATCCTGGTCAACATGGTGAAACCCCGTCTCTACTAAAGCTACAAAAAATTAGCTGGGCATGGTGGTGCGTGCCTGTAATCCCAGCTAC